CTGGGGACACCTGGGATGGAGGGGGGGTTACACCTGTCCCACCTGGGGAGGGCAGGGTCACACCTGGGGAGGGCAGGGTCACACCTGGGGAGGGGAGGGTCACACCTGGAGAGGGGAGGGTCCCACCCGTCCAACCTGGGGAGGGCGGGGTCCCACCTGGGGAGGGGAGGGTCCCACCTGGGGAGGGTGGGGTCACACCTGGGACAGGGACCACACCTGGGGATGGGAGGGTCCCACCTGGGGAGGGGAGGGTCACACCTGGGGAGGGCGGGGTCCCACCCGTCCCACCTGGGGAGGGCGGGGTCCCACCTGGGATGGAGGGGGGGTCCCACCGTCCCACTCACCGGGGGCGGGGCCGTCGGGCTTGGCGGGGGCGGGGCCGGGCGGGCCGGGGGGCGTGGCCGCGGCGCCCCGCAGGTGGGCGGGGCCGTAGGGGGCGGGGCCGGCCCCGGGGAACGGCTCCTCTGATTGGTAGAAGCCGCTGAAGTCGGCGCCGGGCTCCTCCCCCCCGGCCCAGGGCGCCTCCGCACCAGGCGCCGCCTGCGGGACGGAATGTTGCATTTAAATTGTCACAAAAAATTAAATTTTCTACGCTGAAATCTATAGAAACTCAATAAAATATTGCCTCTTTGCGAAATAATTACGTGCAACGTAAAAACGTACATTCTCATTTACATATGTGCGCGTTTATACCGTTAAAAGTGAAGCGATTTTTACGCTTAATTTAAATTAAATTCAAGCAATCGAAATAATTTAAATAATTTAAAAGCTTCCCGTGAGATAGGAAAGATTAGCAATAAAGTTTGCGAGGTGTGCCCCTCACCTGTGACAGTGCCCACGTGTGCCCTCACCTGCATAGGAGTGCCCCTCCCCTGCCCAGGTGTGTCTTTCATCTCCCCAGGTGTGCCCCTCACCTGTGACAGTGCCCTCCCCCACCCAGGTGTGCCCTCACCTGCCCAGGTGTGCCCTCACCTGTGACAGTGCCCTCCCCCACCCAGGTGTGCCCTCACCCACCCAGGTGCGTCCGTCCCCTCACCAGGTGTGTCCTCCCCTGCCCAGGTGTGCCCTCACCTGTGACAGTGCCCAGGTGCCCAGCTGTGCCCTCACCTGTGACAGTGCCCGTGTTCCCAGCTGTGCCCTCACCTGTGACAGTGCCCGTGTTCCCAGCTGTGCCCTCCCATTCCCAGGTGTGCCCTGCCCTGCCCAGCTGTGCCCTGCCCCGCCCAGGTGTGCCCTCACCTGTGACAGTGCCCGTGTTCCCAGCTGTGCCCTCACCTGTGACAGTGACCGTGTTCCCAGGTATGCCCTCACCTGTGACAGTGCCCAGGTGTGCCCTCACCTGTGACAGTGCCCGTGTTCCCAGGTGTGCCCTCACCTGTGACAGTGCCCATGTTCCCAGGTGTGCCCTCACCTGTGACAGTGCCCAGGTGCCCAGGTGTGCCCTCACCTGTGACAGTGCCCGTGTGCCCAGGTGTGCCCTCACCTGTGACAGTGCCC